CAGAGTATATCTTGAAATTGTTATCTTTCCAATATATTTTCTAACTTTGGTGAGTAATCCAAGTTTTTTTTATTCCTAAATTAGTTGAAGATGGGTTAACCATAATCCATCCTCTATAGCCTTTATCTTCTCTCAATTTTTGCCTTTTTCTTAATTTGCTAAATAACTTCAGTATTAAAGTTCACTTTATGTCTTACTACTTCAATTTTCTGCAATATCCAAAATCTACTTTTTACTGCTTTCAGCATGGTGTAATTTCTACTTCCATGCTGTTAGTTTCATAGAACTGTTTTCTTAGTTCATTTTGTTCGCAGTTTATAGTGGTCTTACCTTCTTTATAGTATAGTATGGCATTATTTTTTAATACAGGCAATGGTCTTTTGACCATTAATAAATGTTCTTTAATAAACCTACTTCTTGGGGAGGTACTTCCTCTTCTCCTTCCAATTCTTCTTCTTTATTCATCCTTAAATACAGATCTATTTTAGAAAAAGACACAACACCTTCATAACTTTCCTCGGCACGCTCTCTCAGTTTTCCCAGGTGTTGAAAAGCACTCTTATGCTTGTGTTGCCTTTTGGAATTCCTAGGATATAGCAAGTTTTCATAAGTGATAAATTATCTTCTTGATAATTGCCTCCTCAGCCCTTGAGCAAAACAAAGATTTAGGGGTAGAGTCTAGGCTAAGATAGTTGATATTGTAGTGCATAACTCAAGCTACTATAATCTCTACTCAGTTGTATGAGGTCCCCTCCTTGTTCTTCTTAAAAGGCAGCCATCACTGGGGCTGTTCTAAATACCTATTTACTCACATTCCAGTGTACTGAAGTGAAGAGGCTCCTAAGAAATATTAATGTATTACATAGGATTCTAACTTCGCCTGGCATTAGATAGATTTCAGCTATGCTCTTTAGCTTGGTTAATGGTTGACTATTAGTATTGTTCTTACTTACCCATTTGAGACTCCTACTCATTTGTGGAAAATGCTTACTCTTTTATCCAGATTTTCAGTTACTTTTTTTTTCTGGCACACTTGGCATTGGCTTTTATTTTTTAAAATTTATTTATTTTTATTTTTATTTTTTAAGTGTTTTATGGCTATTTTAGCATTTTTTCTTCTATTTAAAAAGTAACACATTTGTTATGCTGTATTTAACCATTATAGAAACACATAATTTAGACTAATTCTCCTGAAATTTATTCCATTCCTTCCAAAGGCAATCAACATTAAGTCAGTTGCATAGCTCTTCAAATTATTTTCTTCACTACAAATCCACTTCTTTTTTTACACAGATGTTACACTATATCTACTGCCTGAAACTTGCTTTTGTTACTTATGCTTATCTTGATTTCAATCAATAACAGGATATTATATGTGATCCAAAACACTTTAAAATTTGGTTTGCCACTTAGAGACCTATTTCATTATTCTTCCCCAAGCTCCATAAAATTTTCAAGATAATTTTTCCTTTTGAAATTCTAGCCAATAAGCAGGTGTTTCATTTTGTTTCATTTTTTGACATTAAAAACACAGAAATAAGACATACAGTGGTGTGTTTCATTGTACTAGATGCCTCTTGAGCCCCACCTCACATACTCTCAGGCCACTTTTTTCTCTAGCTATTGCTGTGTTAAATCTGCTTTGCCTCAGTTGCACAACCTTCACTTTTTGCCCTGAAGTTCTCTGATGCCTCCAGAAACCTGGTAATGTTAGAGTTAACACTCCATGCAGCAATATTTGCCCAGTGGGAGAACTGGATTAGAGCTAGTGGATAAATGCTCTCTTTAATCTTTGGCAGGCGTGTTAGACAATTCTGAGACACATTCTACAGGGGTTCTTAGAAGATCCTGATGGGATGGAACTCCAGTTCCCTAAAGAGGTGAACATCTCTAGAACCCTTCCCAGTGTCATATCTGTGCCTTGTGATCACTAATCAACAAAAACTACTTGCATTCAAGCCTCTGTTGTAGGTTCTGTTTTATAGAAAGAAGCCAGGCTAAGATGCTCAAACAGAATGCACATTAATCCATCTCTGAAAAGGAGGCACTGTAAGTAATATTTTATTTAGCATATTCAAGTATCATAGGAAAAAGGAGAACATTCAAATTAACTCACAATTTGATTCTAAACAAGTTATGTCAAAACTCAAACTTTGTATTTTCTGGTGTATATAAAAAAGAAAAAGGGGAAACAAAAACCCTAAATAATAATAACCTAAAGAAATACTAGACAGAGTATCATTAGATTAGAAAACTCTGCTTATAAAACCTATTATTTTTCCTAGCAAAAATCAAATGTGAAAGATATTAATATCCCCATTTTACATATTGAGAACAAAGTCTCAAAAAAAGTTAGAACACTCTACTAAGGTCACTGAGATAGAAAATGGTGGAACTAGGATTCAGACACAGTGTTTCATATTCAAAGTGACATCTTCTGCACTATAGGAGATCTGGAAAGATACTTATTATGAAAATTTAGTTTTTTTTTCATTAAATTTTTATTTTGTCAATATACAATGTATATGATTATTATGGCCCATCACCGACACCTCCCTCCCTCCTCCCTCTCTCCCCTCCCCCCCGAGAATGTCCTTTCCGTTTGCTTGTTGTAACAACTTCAAAAAGGAATAGTTGTTATATCTTCTTCCCCCCCCCCCGGTTTTTTTTGTGTGTGTATGTGGGTGAATTAATTTGTTTATAAATAAAGTATCCTAGTATCACATACCAAGTGATACAGTATGCTATTTTATTATTTTAAAAAATTAATTATCGTTAGAAAAGCAACATGCAAGTATACATACAATCTTCTAGTGGAGGCTGGGCCATCTTTGCATAAAAAGGCCAGGATGGAAAGTGGAATGATAACATAAAAATACAAGTGCTTTCCAAGCTGAATTGATTGGTTAATGCCATTCATTATCTCCATCATCATCAAATAGGATTTTTAAATTTCCACTAGCTGGAATACAAAATTGCCAAAATAAATATTTGGCATTCATTTCTAAACTTCTTCAATATTATTTATGCTGTTATTAATTCCTAATAGCAAATAGCTCATCATCTGGCTTCTGAGGAAGATAAGTGAAATGTCAACATAGAAATCATAGAAGTCAATTATTAAAAATTTATTTAAGAAATTAAAAATTTAAATATCTAAAATTTAATATTTAAAATATGTTTAAAATGACTAAGAAATTATTTAAAAATCTGGCTATTATTTATTCTGATTTTTAATAAAATTTAAAACATCATTTTATAATCCCAAAGAGCTTATTTCCTTAGCCTAATTATTTAAAATTATATTTAAGATCTTTTGTACAGGAGAAATCACACGGCATCTCTTTCATCATTTAAATTCATTTCTGTTACTCTGGGCACATGGTGAAATGTGAATTTTTTTTTTTTCAGACATAGAGATTGTTTTTCTATGAACTATTTACACTTCCTTTGTTGACATTTGAATATTGATTACAGATATTCATTTGTTATCTGCTGGAGTTATTCCTCCATATAAAAGATTATATCAACAAATGTGAAAATATATACTCTGCATATATGAAGTGAGAAAGACAGGCAAAGAGAAATCATGGATATAAATTTGAGCCAAGAATGAAGCTAATATACAAAATGAAGTCTATGAGACACACTTGCCAACTATGGGCCACAAATTTTAATCTTAAGTTTCTAGCATCCAATGCATAAGGAAAAGGACAGTTCTTTTTTTGATACCAAAACCAGAAAGAGGTTACTCCTGAGAAATTTTATAGAGAAAACTAACACACAACTGACCTCAATAATGGCCTTGAAGTAAACACAGTGAAGAACCCACAGCAGCATACTAATGACTAATTCAGTAAATTCAATACTTCGGAAGGAACAGTCATTTGTCATGGAAAATTCAATGCCAAAAAAAGAGTCACTCATAGAAGATAAAATGTAGGAGAGAAAGGGTCTGTTCATGCTCTTTAGTTTTGACACAATAGGCACAGCTACAGAGTAGCCCTGCATTGCATGGGAAACAAAACAGTACAATTCATAAAGTCTCAGGGAACTAGAATTGGTAGCAAATGCCAGATCTGGAAAGGGCATGGGCTTTGGTATGAGACTTGTATCCAAACTTAACTCTCAAGCAGCTTAATATTTGTGACCCTTAGTTCCACCATTTGTAAAATTAGGATTAAATGAGATAATATGTTTATAGAACCTAAATTAATACTTCGAATATATATATATAGACCCTTAATAAACACTATTTTCTTCCTATTCGCCAGACCCTACAGGTGGATCAGAAAGGGGTTGGTTGTAATTATTTCCCCTCCTGGACTAACATGGAGAGGAATACATTACCTGTCTACTACTGAGACTATTCTTATAAATCACAAAGGCCACCATTGCGGCACAATGAAAAGAGGAGGATGACTCAATATCATTTATGTAGTAGGCAATGAAAAAAGGAACCAGAATTCTGTACTGCTGATATTCTGAGTTAATATTTTGCCCCCATATATTTAAGTAAGATGTTTCTAAATAAAAAATAATATTGTTTAATAAATATTCAAACATGTCAGAAATATAAAACTTATAAACTGAAAGTAAGAATAAAAGAGGCAAGTGAACTTTGGCAGGCATATGAATCTTCATCAATTATACCTGGCAGACACAGAAATGACAAGATCTGACACAGAGGTGAAGAAATTATTAGAACAAATCAGCACTGATCAAGAAATGGATTTACAAGTAAAAGTGGCCAACTGTTCATTAACAAGAAAGGAGATGCCTTCTCACAAAGTATAATGTACTCACACCTCATTTCTAATAATAAAATATCTGCAAAGTCATTAAGTGATTCAACAAATATTGCCAAATTACCATTTGGAAAGTTGTTTGGAGTATAGAATCAGAGCAAAGGAAGTTTGGTTATCTTATGAAGTATTTCTTCCAAATGATGATAAAGGTGTATTACCCTTGTTATTGAAAATAAATCCCAGTATACTTACCACATGAAGAATTTTATTCTCTGTTTCATATACGGTACAATCCTGAAAAAAGAAAAATATACATTAGTAATCAACCACATTGTATATTGACAAAATAAAATTAAATTAAAAAAATAATAAATCAACCATATCAACATTAAAAAAATCAAGTATAAATATTTAAAAATATTTCCTTAGGAACTGTACTATAATTTGAAAAGTCTTGACAATTCAAGTAAAGACAGCAATAAGAATGGGGAAAAATATTCTAGAATACTATATACCAAAATGTTAATAGTGGTTAGCTCTGATGATCAGTTACAGAGGATATCCTCATGTTTGCTTAACTGTATTTCCTAACTTTACTAATTTTAAACTATACATAATAAAGGATAATATACATTAAGTAGACTTTTAGAAACATATATTGAAAAACATGTTATAATTATTTTCTATCTAAACTTTTACCTGTGATAAATATATTTTGTTGAAATATCACCCATATTTGCAACACTAATTTATTATAGAACATTAAAAAAAACACTAATATTTATTTCAATAGTCATATCAAAATTTCATAAATACTTTCAGATTTTCAACAATTGCAGTCTCTTAAATATACTTTATATTACACATTAAAGTTAATACAAACTACTAATAAATACCAAGTTTATCTCACCTAGGTTCGAGTCCCTGAAATTATTAAAAAATTTTATTAAAAACTCATTTTTTTATTGTATACGAAGCAATTGCAGGTCTTTTTTTAACCTACAATTGCATGATATACAATAAGCAGCAATACAACAAAGTGATCTTTGCTTAGAAACTTACTGTTTCTTATAGGAAGGAATTGATAAAATAGGCATATTAGTAATAACCCAATAAGGGTGTTGTGTGAATTAAATGAGAAAATGAAATAAGTCACATGGCACAGCGTCTGACATACAATAAGTGATAAATACATTTTAACCATGTCTTATTGTTGCTCTGCATCATTTTAATTTTGTAAAATAATTACCTTTACTTCAAAATAAAAAAAAATAATTATTATTCAGCTAGTTTTGAAAAAAAAAATGGTATTCCACAGTACCACATATTTTAAAAAACAGTAGTCTATTTTTTTTCCCAATTTAACAAAAAGAATTTTGTTCAACACGGTTTTTGATAATGCTATTTAACTACAGTACCTTGTCAAAAGAAGTACATATTCATATCAGGGGCAAATTTTTAAAAGTAAAATTCAGTTCTGATTCATTTCACAAACTAACAGAGATAGCTTATGGATTGGATCTTGTCTGAGGGTTTCATGTGCCAAAGGAGACGTTTGCTATAAATATAATCATATCTATGTCTGCATACTAACACGAAGTCAGTTCTTTTATTTATTTATTTATTTATATTTATTTTTATTAATACATACATGTGGGGTACAAAATTGATTTTCAGTAATTTTGTAGAATGCGTGGTGGTTAGATCAGTATATTTAGCCTTTTCATCATCACAATATGCAATCATTCGCTGTGTCCATTAACCAATTCCTCATTAGCGCCCCCCCTTTTCCACGTCTAGTTTTCTAAAAGTTCAATGTATTCATGTGATTTTTGTTTCTTTCTTTCTCTAAAAAAAAAAATAAAAATAAAATTGAATGAAATTCTACTGTTTGCAGCAACATGGATGGGCCTGGAGAAAATTATTCTACGTGAAACAACCCAGGTACAGAAAGAGAAATACCACATGTTCTCACTCATAACTGGGAGCTGAATCAATACATAAATGAACAATAAACAAAATCAGTTCTTAATAACTAATTATGAATTATGTGTACAGAGGAGCTAAGGTGAAGACAAACACTTATATTTGGAAAGTGCACTTGTATTTACATCCGATTTTGGAAGAGTCCAGCTTTACAGAAATTAACTTCAAACACAATTACATTGGGAAGAGATGATTTGGCGAAAGCTGGGAAGTTGCCCAGTTTCCCCATGCTGCTTCTACAGCTTGTTTCAGCTGCAAGTTTCATTACAGTCATCCCCCCTTCTCTGCAGGGGATACATTTCAAGACCCCTAGTGGATGCCTGAAACCACTGATAGTACCAAATCCTATATATACTATGTTTTTTCTATATATACCTATGATAAGTTTAATTTATAAATTAGACACAGTAAGAGATTAACCACAATAACCAATAACAAAATAGAAAAATTATAACAATATGCAAGCATCAATAATCTTACACTTTGGGACCATTACTAAGCAAAATAAGGGTTACTTGAACACAACACTGTGATAGCCTGACAGTCTGATGACTGAGAAGGCTACTAAGTGACTAATGGGGCAGGTAGCATATACAGTGTGACTACACTGGACAAAGGGATGATTCATGTCACAGGTGGGATGAAACACGACAGCAAGAGATTTCATCCCGCTGCTCAAAATGATGTACAGTTTAAAACTCATGAATTGCTTATTTCTGGAATTTCCATTTAATATTTTTGGACTGCGGTTAACCGTGGGTAACTAAGACTGCATAAAGCAAAATTGGTTAAGGGAGGGTAAAGGGAGGGGGACTACTGTATTTGCCTACCTTCCCAGAATCACAGGATATGACTAAATGTTCAAATTTCAAAGGGATTTTCCTCTAAAGAAAAAAGTGAATACGATCTAAATGTAAATTCTACTGCTGGTATAATAATCATACAGAAAGTAACTATTTCAAATATCTTTAATAACTTATTTGCATATCCTTAGTTTGATATAACAAAAGGAACTGTTAAAATAATATTAAACTGTTTTCAGTAATCATATTGTTCGTTGGTAGTAGTAGTATTATTGTGCTGAATTTGCTGTGTGTGATTTATAAGATGAAACAATTGAACAACTTTGTGACTGTCATTCTATCACTCTGGTGGCACCGATAAGTATTTCTAGCATAGGAGAAAGCAGATACATATGTAAGACTGAAGGAGTTAAATAAAAAACAGGGTTTGTTGATGTATTATGTATGTATAAACGTATGTACACATTTCTTAGCTCTGCCCACTGAAAAGGCATAGGAACAATGACCAACCTAGTAATAATGAACTTCCCACAATCTGTGGTCTTAAAATACCATTTCCAAGGCCTTGGAAAATGGCTGGTTCCAGATCTGGGATAGGAAATGCACAAGATAAGCTTGGATTATACTGTAATACAAGATAGAAGGAAGCTATCAAAGACTACTAGGGTTGTGTCAGTAGGACTCAGGAGTCAACATGAAGAGATTCCCACTGGCCAAAGATGGAACAATTTGAACAATAAAAAGGATAATAACTGCAATGGATGGAAACACAGTAGGTACCATTAAATATTGAATGTATGTTTGATCCTATATTAAATTTAAAATATACTAAATATATCAAAAATATCTTTAGTAATATTTTAAAAATATTAAACATATTAAACTAATTGGACAATGAATAATGATATACTATTCCCCTTAACTCAGCAAATTGTGATCAACTGTGCTAGGGATACAAAGGTAAATAAGACAAAGCCCCTGACCTAGAGAAGTGCAGTTTAGGGAGACAGGCATTCACACAAATAAGTAAAAACAGGCTGAATTCAAAAGTTTTCATGCCATTTTAAGTTTTAATAACTTTAGAGGTATAAATGCTACAAACTATATAAATCAATATGTGAAAGGCCAATTATTTAATTAAAAAAAAATCTTAATATATTTCTTATTAAAATTCAACATGACCACTAGACTGTGCTGTACATTGCTCCAAATTTCAAACCTTGTAAAAACTTTCATTAGCTGCAGCTCAGTGACTGAAAAGATTAACTTTGTAATCCTTGATTTAAGATTACTTGAAGAATGAAGTACTGGTGCATACTCAACAATTTTGACATGATCCCTCTAAGGGTGATAGATACATGAGGTGAATGAAGTGGCCAAGTTTTTCTACCAGTCTGAAAAACTGTGTCATACAAATATTAAAATTAAAAACTTACTATATAAAACAAATAGAACTAAATTATAAAATAAATTTAAATAATTAAATTTTCAAATGATGTTCCTTTTACTTATACATGTGATGCTATTGAAGCTTAAATCTGTACTAAGACGTTTGGGATATGCTCAATTAGTATAATAAAGGCACAATTTTGGGGCTGGAAGAGAGAAGGAAGCAACTAATTCTGCCTAAAAAGAAAAAAATCAGGAAAGGTGGCTTTTAATTGGATCTTGGAAACAGTACGTTTTTAGGCAGAGAAAATAAAGGAATTGATGCATAAGCAATGTAACTACACTCAAATACAGTTAAGGTACTGCAGTAATTTTCAGATTTTACTTCTGTGTGTATTAAGAATCACTTGGGGAGTGGGTTAAAATGCAGATTTCCAGGTCTGATCCCTAGAAATATAGATTTGCTAGATTCAGAGTGGAGGCACCCAAGACAATTTTGATGAAGACAGTATTTTGAGAAACACTTGATCTATTTTATAGGACTACCATGTGATAGAGGAACGCCAAACAAAACCAAAAAGTATCAAATATATGAACTCATAAATCAGTAAACCTGATTTAAAAATATTATCTGCTGGCTCACTCTAAACGGTTCTCAGCTCCTTAGAACTATGTGTTTCAGTTACATTTCCCCAATTTATTGATTGATTTTTTTCTCCCAGTAAACTTATTTCTTTCTTTAATAGCTAAGTACTTTTAATAGCTGCTTCTACTTGTTTGTGTCTCTAGTTTCTTTCAGCCAGATTGGCCTGTTCGTTATTAAAAGCCAGAGGCTTTCACAAAGGGTGAGATCACAGCAAGTTAAAAACAAAACAACAAAACCAACCAACACAGAGAGTGCATATTAACCTGCTACTTAATATTAGGGAGAAGAATAGAAACTAATGACTATGTTTTTTTTTGTTAAGCTACAGTTTTATGGAATTCATTTTATCATCCTAAATATTTGAATAGCTCTAGGTACTTTCATTTTATTAGTAAGTTATTTTACTTCCATCAAAATGTGATTTAAAAATATTTGCCTCTCAAGTATGGGTTTTATTGACACTTGGGGCC